CCGATGTGTTTCTAACTGCCAAGCATGCCTTTTTAGTGGGGTTGTTTCTAATAGACCTTCCTGGGCTGGCCTTCAGGCTGGCTGTGCTGCTGCAGGGGGGCCCCCAAGAAAGGGCCCCCCTGTGCCCCTTGCTGCTGAAGAACTTCGTGTGGCTGGCCTTGAGGCCCCTCCGCATGCACCAGTGCGTCTTAGCCGAAAAAGAAGATGCCAGATGGCTCCAAAGAGAAGTTTTGACTTTTGCTGCTGACGCTGCGCCTCCCGTTGCTGCTGCCTTTCGTTCTGCTGCTGCTGCGGGCACTCCGCCGGGGCCCCTGGAGCCTCCTGTTCCTGTCGACGCTGCGCGTGCTGCTGCTCCCGCTGCTGCTGCTGCTGCTGCTGCTGCGGAGGCTTCTCCCGCAAAAGGCACCCGCGCTGCAGCAGGCGCAGCCGGACGGAGGAAGCACGGCAGCTCAGCAGCAGCAAATCTGGAGAGACGTGGGCAGCAGCGGGAAGACAGCTTGACTGGGGCAGCAGCAGGAGCGAGGGAAGTTGCTGCTGCTACTGCTGCTGCTGTCAACGAGCGGCAGCAGGCCTTCCTGCTGCGCCTCCTGGGGCTTCCTCTCACTGCTAGTCCCGCAAGCCTGGAGGCTTCTTTGAGTTCAACTTCTGCAGAAGCAGCAGATGCCCCCACCCTAGGGTCTACTTCCCTGTTTGCTGCAGAAAACCCTTACGCAGCAGCAAAACAAACAAAGAAAACCCTTGCAGCGGTTCATGAGTCACGGGCCCCTGCGTTTCCTGAAGCTGCTGGGGAAGCAGCATGAGGGGCCACAGGAAGGAGCAGCAGCAGCAGCAGCAGCGCAGTCTAAAACTGCAGCAAAGCCGCAGCCTAGGCCTCTGCTGGCCAGAGCTGCCACCCTCGCCAGATGGAGAAGAGCTCATAAGGAACACAACAGGCCCGAAGGCCTCAGGCAGTGCCGGTCGGCTGCCCTGCCTTCTTCTGCTGCAGCAACTGCTGCCAACGACTCAACAGCAGCAGCGCCCGAAGAAGACGGAGCAGCAGCAGCAGCAGCAGCAGCAGCAGAGCCACACGGGCACAGGCACTTCGAGAGGAGAATTGGGGGGCGGCTGTCTTCGCTGCGGGCGCTAGCGGGCCGCCGCCGCTCCACAGTGCTCTCTATTGCCCAGCAACAGGACCAGAAGCCGCAGAGCAGCGAGCAGCAGCAGCAGCAGCAGCAGCAGCAGCAGCAGCAGAAGCCGCCGCAGCTGGTCGTGCCGCTGCCACCTCAAACAGTCGCCCTGGACTCCTGCCCCTCCTCTGGGCTGCGGGGGCCCCTCGAAGAAGAAACAATGACAGGAACAAGTCTAACTTCTCCTCCAATCAGTTTATTGGACTTTTGGCCCTTCAGCCGCTGGAAGAGGCCCCCGCTGGGGCCCCCCAGTGACCCTGAGGGGCCCCTGGCTCATTCGCAGCAGGCGCTGCAGTTCAAGCCGAAGCAGCTGCGCGGCGACGAGGCCCTGAGCCCTGGGGGGGGCCCCCCGCAGCTGCTGCAGCAGCTGCCGGGGGCCCCCAACAGCCCCCAGAGGGGCCCCGGGGGGCCCCCCCAGCGCCGCAGCCTCAGCCTCACGCCCAGGGCCAGGGGCCCCCGACAAAACCTGCCATTAGCCCAGGCCTTTCTGAGTCTGCATGCAACTGACAGCAAGCTGCCAGGGGACCCTGACTCTGCTGCTGCAGCAGCAGCAGCAGCAGCAGCAGCAGGAGGGTGCGCCCGCAGCACGACCAGCTCCTTGGAAACGCCTTCACCCTGCTGCCCTGTGACCAGAACAGACAACTCACAGATGCCCTTTGCTGCTGCTGCTGCTGCAGCTCCGGCTGCTGCTGGTGAGGCTGCTGCTGATGGGGTCCCCACGGAGCTGGAGCGCAGAGAAAGAGGTGACACAGCAGCAGCCCGCAGCAGCTGCCGCTGCAGCCAAGCCTCAAGGCTGGTGAGGTTTGTGCGCAAGGGGCGCCTACGCGCACACTCGCAGCAGCAGCAGCAGCAGCAGCAGCAGAACTGGCTGCAGGACATGATGCTGCAGCAGCTGCAGTGCGGCCATTCAAAAGGAGCAGTGTTGCCCCCGCCTCAGCAGCTGCTGGACTCTGTGCGCAGGAAGCAGCAGCAGCTGCTGCTGCCCACGTTTCCCCTCAAAGGTGTTGGCGTAGGCTTGCTGCTGCAGCGGCTGCTACTCCTGCTGCTGCGTCCCCGGGGGAGGGGTTTCGCTGCAGTGATAGATAACGGGGTATATGTCAGCCGCAAGCAGCAGCTGCTGCTTGCTGCTGTTGCTGCAGCGCCCCACATAGCCAAGCTTCTCTTGATCCTTCGCCCCTTCCTGCTGCTGCTGCTGCCGCAGCAGCAGCAGCAGCAAGACCTGCAGCCCGTAGGCGGCGCTGCAGCCTACAAGCAGCACATAGAAGTAGTGCTGGGGGAAGGCAGCGTGCTGCTGCTGGTGCTGCTGTCGCTGCAGGCCTTGGGCCAAGCTGTTCTTTTCTTTTGGATGAAAGTTCCTTTTCTGGACTTTTCCTTTGTTGCTATTGGCGGCTGCCTGCGGCTGGCCTCGCTGCATGCGCTGCTGCTGACCCTGGAGGCCCTTCCGGGGGGCCCCCAGGGGGGCTTCGCCTTTGTCAGGGCCCACGAGGGGGCCCCCGGGGGCCCCCACAGTGTTTTGGGGCCCCACGTGGCTGCTGTGGCGCTGCGGCTGCTGCTTTGCCTGCCCCCCCTTTTGTCGCTGCTGCAGCTCCTGCTGCCCACCTGCAGTCTGCTCTGCCTCAGGAGCAGCACATCCTGCTGTAAGCACCGCTGCTGCTTCCGCTGCAACTGCTGCTGCTGCTGCTGCTGCTGTCTCAAGGCTCCTGCTGCTGCGGTAGCCGCCTCGAGATGTGCTGCTATTTCTGCTGCAGCTCTCAGCAGCTGCTGCTGCCCCAGGCTGCTTGCCTGCTTTGCGTTTCTGCTGCAGCTTGCCGCAAACGGGCCAAGGCTGCAGCACGGCAGCAGCAGCAGCAGCAAGCAGGAAAAGATATCGCTCCCCTGGAGATGCCCGCGGGAGCAGACGATCCCGCGGTTCCTGCGGGAACAGCTGCAGCGTTGCTGCTGCTGCTCTGCAGCAACATGGGGGCCCCCCTGTCACTTCATACCCTGCTAATAGGGGGCCCCCTGCTGCGCAGCGTGCGGCTCTGCGACCAGCTGCTGCAGCAGCACTTTGACGCTGCACTGCTGCTGCTGTGCTCCCGGGGAGTCACTGCCAGTTGGGCCCCTGACCGTTTGCTGCTGGCCATTCACCTCTGCTACTTTTTCTTCTGCTGCTGCTACTTGTTGCTGTCTTGCAGTGTGCGGCTGCTGCAGCTGCGGAAGCGGGAGCTGCTGCTGCAGCTCCAGCTGCTGATGGAGCCGCAGAAGACCCACCCAAAGCACACCAGAGAAGCAGCAGCAGCTGCAGCACCTGCTGCTGCATTAAGGGCTAGAGCAGCAGCAGGACCAGAAGACGATGGGGAGCCACTCCACAGTCGCCGAGAGCGAGCAGCAAGTGCAAATGCTGCAGCAGCAGCAGCTGCTGCTGCTACTAATTCTTCTCCATATATCCTCCTCTCCGACGTCTCGAAGCATCTGGAGACTGAGGGATTCTTTTCTTCTCCCGGAACGATTTGGCCGCCCTGCTGAGGAGCAGCACCGGTAAAGGGAAGCAAGACAAGCAGCAGCAGCAGCAGCAGCAGCAGCAGCCGCTCAGTTCCCCGTTTTTTCTTCCATTTTCCAGCAGCTAGAAGTTTCTAGACCCCGTGCGCAACTCATCAACAGCCTACTCAGTAGCGGCAGCAGTTCTACCCTCTGCAGTTAGTGTCGCTACTGCAAAGCAGCAGCAGCAGCAACAGCAGCAGCAGCAGCAGCCGCTGCAGCAGCAAGTGCAGTTCTGATGTCAAAGTACAGGCTTAAAATGCCCTGCAAAGCACACTAAATGCCCTCTAGCGGCATCCTTAGCCTCTTGAGGCTGAAGCAAATCTGTTTGTTGCCGAAGCAAATCTGTTTGCTGCTGAAGCAAATCTGTTTGCTGCTGAAGCAAATCCGTTTGCTGCTGAAGAAGCAGCTCAGAGCTCAGGACACATGGGCCTTAGGATTTGGTTTTAGAGAGAAGCAGAGCAGCAAGCTGCTGCAGCAGCTGCAGCAAGCTGCTGCAGGAGCTGCACTGAGACTTTTTACAGCAACAGCACCAGCACTGGATGGTCTTGACAGCCTAGCAGCTAGCCCCCAAAGAATGCAGCAGCAGCAGCAGCAGCAACAGCAGAAACAGCAGCTGCAGGAAGAACCGTTCTGCCGCGACGGGAGGCGGGCCCTTCGATCAACTTGTCCCATTCCGTAGCATTCGTTCTCAAAACATAGCTGCTGCTAATGCTAATTCTGGTGCTGTGGCTGCTGCTGCCGTTGCTGCTGCACCTGCTGCTCTGCACCTGCTGCAGCTGCTGCAGACCCGGTGGTTGCTGCTCGCGTGGCGGCAACAGAAGGAAGCTCAACCCTGGTCTCCCAATAACCTAAGCCAACTTTTCATTATTGTAAGCGCAGCAGCAGCAGCAGCAGCAGCAGCAGAACTTTGAGCAGCTTCTTTACAATGCGCGAGGCACAGGTTGAAATGTAAGGTGAGGGGCTCCCGTAGGGGCCCCAATAAGGGGGGCCCCCCAACAAGAAACGCCCAAAGGGCCCCCCCAGCAGGCAGCCGGGGGGGCCCCCAGCCAGGGGGCCCCAGGGCCCCTGGGGGCACCCCTAGGGCTTCTAAGAGGCAATTTAAATGTCTTCAGTACTTTCTGGGGCCACTATGGTGGCCTCAGACTTTGGAGAGAAGTCATCTTCCACAATACTAGCTGTCTCGGACGCCTGCAGATATGCAATGCTACACATTGCTGCACAATGCTGCTGCTGCTGCTGCTGCTGCTGCCATTGCTCTTGCTGCTGTTTCTGCGTGCTTTGTTGGTACTTGTGCCTTGAGCAACAGCCGCCCGGATGCTCCCAGGCTTCTGCTCCTTCTGCGTCTCTGTCTCTACTCGCTGCACCTCGCGTTGCTGCTGCCGCCGCCGCAGCAGCAGCAGCAGCAGGACAGCAGCAGGACAGCAGCAGGGGCAGCAGCAGCAGCAGCAGCAGCAGCAGGGGCAGCAGCAGCTGGAGCGCCGTGAGCAGCAGGCGCGCAGGCTTGCCTGTGAGTGCGTCAGCTTGAGCTTAGGTGCTTCGGGGGCCCCCTTGGCCTCGGGCTCTTCTTCTTCAGGGTAATAATACTCATAAACAACTTCAGCTTCTTCATAAGCTTCCACTAGGGCTTTTCCCCTTTCTAGGGCTTCTGTAAATTCGCCTTCTTCCAGCCCTTCCCTCAAATACCTGCATGCAAGCCCCAAACGCAGCCCCAAAATCTCACCCAAAGGGCATGCAGCTCACTTCCGCAGCAGCAGCAGCTGCAGCAGCAGCAGCACCAGCAGCAGCGGGAGCAGCAAGAGCGCGCTGCCCGCTGCAGCTGCGGAAGCTGGAAGCAAACGTGGGGCCCCTTGGGGGTACAAGTGGGGGCCCTCGGGCTGGACTTTCCTGAAGACAAAGGCCCTTTTGGCCAGCATTTTTTGAACGTCTTCTATTGTGCTGCTGATCTGTGCTGCGTTGGCCGTGTGGTTGGCCAAGAGGCAGCAGGCCCTGCTGGGGGCCCCCAGGGGGCCCCCCGAAGGCGCCAGGGGCCTCTGGGGGCACACAGAGGCTTTAAACCCTGTGGGAATCCAGTCTACAAATGCATGCAGCTTTTGCGACTTCACTGCCAGCAGCGCCTCCTGCACTTCCCCTGCTGCCACAGCGCCTCTGCAGCAAAACAAACAACCCACTCCCACTCAGGCAAAACTAGCAGCAGCAGCAGCAGCAGCAGCAGCAGCAGCAGCGCCGGAGATAAAACAGCAGCAGCAGCAGCGGCGGCGGAGGCAACGCTAGCGACCAAGAAGGAGAAGCAGGGGAGAAGCAATAGCAGCAGGAGAGAAGCAGCAGCAGCGGAAGAGAAGCCGACGCAGCAGCAGCAGCAGAGAAGCCGCAGCAGCAGCAGCACAGCGGAGGCAGCAGCAGCGACTGCAGCGGCAGCAGCGTGTCAGGAAAAGAGCAGCAGGGCGCCGCAGCGAGAGGCAGCAGCAGAACCAAGACGCGCAGCAGCAGCAGCAGCTGTTGCAATCGTAAAAGCTGTAACGGCAGCAGCAGCGGCGGCTGGGGGAACGTGAGCAGCAGCAAGAGCGGCTGCTGCAGAACGCAGGCGAGAGCAGCAGCAGCTGTGGCTGGAGTGACACGAGCAGCAGCAGCAACAGCTGCCGCCGCAGCAGCAAGAAGCACAGGACGAGGACCTGCATCCGCAGCAGCCCCAACAGCCACACGGGAGTAACAAAACCCGCCGCAGCACTCGCTGCAGCAGCAGCAGCAGCAGCAGCAGCAGCAGACGGCCCCCAGCAGCAGCAGCAGCAGCAGGGAGGCAGCTGCTACCTGTAGAAGAGGTTGGCGGTGAGGAACATGCCGCGGGTGTAGGGCGCGGAGAAGAGAAACTGTCTTTGTTTGAAAACTTCTAAAGTTGTGTCTTTGGTGGAAGTTTTGAGAAAAGGCAGCAGCTCTTTTGCTGCCAACGGAAAGTAAGAAGCTGACAGCAGCGCCAAAGATGGCAGCGGCACCGAATTGCTCAGCAGCGAACCCAAGCAGCAAGTAGCAGCAGAAGGAAATCGCAGAGAAAGAGTAACGCCTGCGCCACCCCACACACCACGCCAGGTCTACGTACACTCCAACGTGTACGTACACTCCAAACCCACACACTTCACAAGATCCCCACAGCCTTCCACCCAAAAAGAAAGTTTCCGGGGCCCCCGGGGGCCCCCCAGGAGCTTCTTTGGGGCCCCACGGGGGCCCCCGGGGGCCTCCCAGGGGCCCCCGGGGGGCCCCAGGAAACCAACAAGGTCCCCTGGGGCCCCTGAGGTCGGGGCCCAAGAGGGCCCCCAGGGGCCCCCAAAAGCCCCTAGCTCCCCCGCAAATTCTCTAGGAGCCCCCAGAGCCTCCCAGGGGCCTAAAGAGGCCCCTAAAGGCCCCCAGGACCCCCCACGAGCCCCCCGAGGCCCTCAGGGGCCCCCAGGGGCCCCCAGGGGCCCAAAGGGGCCCCCAGGGGCCCCCAGGGGCCCCTGGAGACGCAGAAAAGCTGGAGAGAACTGTGGGACTCACTGGAGAGGGCCTGGGCTATAATGTTGTTGAGGTCTTGAGTGAAAGGGTAGCGAGAAGTAGCTCTAGAAAAGAGAGCCGCGAGGGCGGAGTTGTCCATTAAAAGGGCCCCCCCCCCTCTGTCTAAAACGCCGGTGAGGGCGAGAAGGGCGTTGTAGGGCTCTACGCAGCTAGCTGCG